TGAACTTTAAACGTAATCATATAACTGAAATTGAAATAATATTAATAATTAAATTGATTGTCGATTTGATAATGATACTAGCATGATAATATAATTTATATTTATTTATATAGAAATAAATTTCTCGGAATTATCTACTAAATTTTTTAAAAGATAATTCGAATTTTACTGCTACTAATATGTATAAAAAAATATTTTAAAAATAATATAATTTATAATAGAATGAAACTGATAACCTTTGGGATAACTGTTAAATAGATTATCGCACAATAACGATAACGGAATAATTTGAAATGATAGCGATAGATATTCCTCCCTTGCTGTTATATATATTGGTTAGTTAATCGACATTAAGTGTCTATTAAGTAATTTAGGGCGATCACTTAGGGAGATATGCTTTGTCTTATAATCCAATGAAGTTTCTTTGATAGGCCATTATTGCGAATGCTGATAATTCTTGTTACATCGTTATCGTTCACTAAACTGTAGCTAATAGAAATCAATCAAGATTTTATAAAAGTATTTAATTGCGAGATAAATTTGATAAATATAATACATTTCGCAATTAAAATATATTTCTCGCAATTAAAAATACATCTCACGATATAAATCCTTTTCTCCCTTCATTAAAAGAGAATTTTTATTAAAATAACAAAAGGATTCAACAGAATGACAAAGAGAATTTCTGTGATTACATAAGTTCGATCTCACCAAAATGCCATTCTTGTTAAATCCTTTTTTTAGTTTAATCAAAACATTTTTTTTCAGAAAGAGAGAGTGTTCTTATTGAGATCATCATTGGAAAATGAATTTCGTTGTATTAATTGGAATTCTAATTGAAGATGGACAAATTCGAATTTTCTGATTGAATTTATTATAATTCTAGTAGTTGAAATAATTAGAATTCTGATTGATACGATTAGAATTTTTTGTTTGTTGATTTTTAATCAGAAATTTTTCTCTGAATTTTTACTAAATCATGAATATTCATTGCGAAACATTCAACATCGATCTATCATTTTTGACCTTAACGGCGACATGCGAATCACTTCCTGGGAAGTACAATACTTCGCGACGTGTCGTTGGCTGCAGTCACATAAAGACTCGCAAAGGCACGTTCGCACGATTTTACATACTTGTTCGCGCGTGCGACGCTTTGGAAGGCATCTTACAGTGCGCGTGTAGAACACGGGATGATTCACGACGCTTTTGTGTCAGGCGAGGTCTGTTAGGAGTACAAATGATCGAGGTTTATTAACCTTCGGTGCGCAAAAACGACAGGATCGCAAACAATCCTAGCGAGGAATCTCTTCGCGCTTTTGCCGAGCAAAGAATTTCGTCACAGTTATAAGAATGACTGGTTGAAAAGTAATTAACTTTGCTCAGGAATCTAAATTGTTCATATACAGCGCGTAATTCTCTCTCTGTAGCAACTGTTTGCTATAACTTATAAAACTATTTCTTATAATTATATAAACATTGATATACATTTAATTGGCAAACGTCATCAGAATTTTTTTTCATTTTCTTTTTTATAAACATTAGGAAGATGTTATTATTATTTTTTCATCAAATACGTTGGCGTTCGCATTTTAAATATTGAAGATAGTAATTAATCACAATTGATTTACAATTCTTATTTACAGATATTAACAACTTTGTAGTGCACAATGTTACATAACAGTACACAATGTTACAGTAATTATTTACATAATAATCAATAACATTATTATCACGATGTCTATTTAACGCGATAGATTTAATAATTTTAATCAAATTAGATCATACTATGTATGCTTTTGATAAGCGGCCATTCGCCGTTTCATTTCGCAGCGCCGCGAACAGCCATAAATTTCCGCAACGGTTTATCGTGTAAGTCTGGAACCGAAGACTAAATTAAGTTACGGAGTTATGAGTAATGGTTACTTGCGCTCTCGTTGGTTACGTCTCATTGGTTTCCTTCCACTTTGTGCAGCGTTACATTTAACTCGTACGCGTTCCCCCTCGAGCTCAATGAATCGTCTCGCAACCGCTCCAATTTACAAACGTAGAATGTGCAGCGGCCATTTTCATTAGGCATATTGGTAGGCGACAACGATACTGAGAGGGGTCAGGAGTCATGTAATGTGACATCCTGCCGTCGCTTCATCTGCCGACCGTATTACCATATGCGCCACTTCTCGTTTTTTATGAATGCGGCTCTTCCTCTCACCAGTGATGCTCAATGCATCACCGAAAGGCTTGTCGGATTGATAATGCATCAGTTAAAAGAAAACAATATTTCTATAATGTCGAGGAGGTAAACGCAGTACATTAATGACAATCGATGAAAATCATTTTTCTGTATCCATTATACAAAAATTATCAAAATAAACAAAATTCTTTTATTTAAAAAATGAGACTATTATTTTTAATATTAAATAACAAATGTCATTTTGTATTATTGACAATCATTATATATATTATTTAGCACTTCAATCCAGCTCGCTTCAAAGGCCACTTTTATCAAGAATCAATTTTTTATATCGTTTATTAAATCGTTTATTTGTTTTTTTAATCAATTTCTTGGCTTGCCATTATATGATTAAAAGTCGGATAAACTAATGTATAAGATAAGAACGATTTCTCTTACTTTAAAATGGTTTCTTTCATCATCAAAATTTTCGAAAGATGGCTCATTTCAACTCTTTCGTTTTTTAGATTCACACATTCTATCTTAAGTATGAAGAAAGATACAATCCTACCGCTTTTATTCCTGGGTTTAATCGTATATCTCCCTAACTGATGAACGTTCTCGCCATCAGTTTTAAGAGTCCTCGACGAAATGGTCCGGCTGTTGAATTGTCATTATCGTCACTCGTGTTTGGTTATAACTGCTTGTTGGCGGACTCGTCTAATCTCTATTACTCCTCGGGAAGTATTGAGACAGGCCGACGAAACAACCGGATGCTGTTAGATATGATTTTTACGAGTGTACGTCAAGGAGTGCGCGCGTAAACAGTTCCGCGACCTTATGAGATCCACGTGCAGAGAAATACGTTTTCTTGGGGATCCCTGAAACGAGTTCGTAAAATATGCGTTGTGATCGTCTCTTAACTGAGGATTTTTCGTAAAAGGCTTGATTTCGATCACGCGTTAAAAATACGTGAAAATTGTATTAGTCTCCAATGCAGCAACACGAGAATTTTATAACATAATTAATTGGCTAGAAGGAAAAAGTGATATTTTTATCCTTTATTATCTCGAGAGCTCAATTTATTTTATTTATAAAATTTTGAAAAAATGATTTGACCATAAAAGTTTACCTTTAAATATTTGGATATTTTCTCTTCTATCGATTTTAAGTTACTTGTACTAATTCGTATAATTTTTAAGAAAATAAAGAAATTAAAACCTATATTATAGAAACTAAAATGTAGATTTGACTTTCTGTAAATATTATAAGTGAATAATTATTAATTTGACTATGATCTTTTTTAATAAAATTTTTTGAAAAAATTTTGCAACAATTATAAAGAATTGTCTGATTGAATTAATCGCAAATCTTTTTTATAAACATTGTTTAATAATTTTGTAAAATTATGACTGAAAAATAAGAATCATAATAATGGATTAGCCGAACGTGACATTGAAACTCGATCGCACACTATGTAAGGCGCGATGTTTGCATAGAACGAAATATGATTTTATTTAAACAAGCTGGGGACTTTTGGGTTGTATTCTATGTTCGCTTCTTTTCCCAACATAACCCAAATACCTCCTGACGAGTCATCTCGCGTCAACTCTGTTTGAGCAGCATAGAGGTTCAACGAACTGTCATTAAAACGAGCACCCAGTTAGTTGACACGGTCGTTTGAGCAGATGTTCGGCGGAAAACGAGTATTGAGCAAACGGAAAGAGATTAAAGGGATCAAACAATATTGCCAGTGATATATGTACTGATCGTAATCAAATTGGAGGCAAGAAAGACAATAAAACAGCATTCTAACGAAAAATAAAATGAAGAGTCAGTTACTGTTATTCATTTCTTTTTTATTTTGATATTATTTACATCGTGGCTATACTGGCTATACTGAAAAAATAATAATAATAGAAGATTCGTGACTATAAAATTTATAATAGTTTTAAAAATTACAATTTATCGAACACATAACAAAATTTGTTTTTAAATTATGCCTCTTAAGAATTGATGCCTCTTTTATTTAATTTATATTGCGAATCGCGATCGGGCACTTTCCTGTCCATCATCTCCGTTTATATTTGACATACAAGGGCGTGAGCATCCTGAATTTCTTTAGTGGCACGTACTCATCTAAATCAATAACGTGATATTGCATTAAGGCCTTTTTTCTCGGGGGATGATGACGGTCATCAGATGCCATCTGCCATTTCAATGCTCGCGCTAAATCCAGGATTTTGATGCCGCGTCAAGTCTCGCATCTGAATAACGTATATGTGCATATGTATGCGCACGATGTAAGAGGAGATGACATGTATGTATGAGAAAGTGTTGAATAGCGTGAAATGAAATATCGCGTTTTATGCGCATACAAGCGACAGAAATAAAATATCGACATTTGTTATAGGCGTGAAACATGATGCACTCGTAACACACTTTAACTTAAAATGCGAGTATTATGAATTGCAATCCAGGGCGCTGTAAATTAGGACATTACAGTTTTAGATAATACCTTTTCTTGAATAAAATTATTTAACTTCATTGTTTAATTAAATTGAACGACATATTAAATAATAACAGTAGCGACAGAAATAATCAAAAATAACTCAAATTAAATATAATTTGGCATTATTAATTAATTTTTGCTGTACTCTTGATTAATTTTTTCTCCGTTTGAGATTTCTAACATTGTTGGCATAAATTTTAGACCATTAAAATGAGCAAAAATGCGATTTGCCTTTCTGTTATTTTCGTCGCAAAATTGTCATATCTCTATCGCCGCATCAGATAATGTAAAATGATTTTTTTTTTCTCTTTTCAGCATGCAAATAACGTGCGGAAATATGCGACGGATTATGTGGCTCGCCGTCAAGCCCGCAAGATGCCGATGACACGCTCGATAACTTCTCTGGCATTACCGATGAGCCAGGTGGGCGATGTGCCCTACCTGCCGAACGCCAAGGCCGGCACCTTCTTCGCCCGCGACAATGTCTCCAACTTCATCGATTGGTGCCGCAACAGTCTCGGCATCATCGAATGTCTACTCTTTGAGACCGAAGATCTGATAATGCGTAAGAACGAGCGACATGTAATACTATGCCTGCTGGAGGTGGCTCGTCGCGGCGCCAAGTTCGGCATGCTCGCGCCGTTGCTCGTGCAGATGGAGAGGCAGATCGACCGCGAGATCGCCGCTGAGAACAAAGCAGCGAACGGCGCCGGCAATGAGGAGAGTGATGACGAGTATGAGGAGGAGTCTTGCCTCATATACGGACCGCAGCCACAGATCGTCACGAATGATCTCAAGACTCTCCACGAGTTGGTGAGTGAAAATATGATCTTGGTACTTGGAATATATAGGTCTCGACACGAGAAATGACGTTTCCACGCTTCCGTTGCCCACATTCTAAATCTTGGGGAGTGAAATTTCACTCCCCAAGAAAAGTGATAGTTGCATCAATCCGACAAGGAGTGAACTTTACTTCACTCCTTCAGGAGTGAATTTCTTAACCTGACTTAAAAAGTCAACTTTAATGATTAATATCTCATTTCGCGAGACAGAGCGACGCTTTCTTCTGCCATATTCGTTCATTTTGTGCAAAAACACCTCGAATGAGTCTAATAATTTTTAGATGTAAGGAAGCTAAACTTAACATTTATTAGAGTGAAATTTCAATTTCTTCTTTCGGAGAGTGAAATTATTTACTCTTCATATAGATTGAAAATTGACTCCCTTGGAGTCAATTTTGACCCACTTGGAGTAATTTTTCACTCTAAGAATGAAAATTTCATGTCGGAACTATCACTCTTTGGGAGTGAAATTTCACTCCCAAAAATTTATACATACAGCACCCTTCCAAAGATGCTCAGAGAATCTCCTGTATCTTAAAGATGTTCTTAGGACATTCCTCGGTTATATATGCTGCATGGGTGATGGGGCTGAATAAAAAATATACGCGGTATAGCATTTATAGGAAACCTAAAAATTTTTGTTTAGTTCTCTTTTTATAAACTTTGAACAAATCCTATTTCAAATGTTCTGAATTCGGTTTTTTTATTCTCAAAGCATCACTTCGAAATAACGATGTTTGCGATGCTTCTTGGAATCTCTCAGTAACCTATAAGTTTCTCAGCATCGATTCCGATGGCTTGCTGATTAAATTGGCTTTGAACGTATTCGAATCGCGCGTTTCATCCCATATCATTGCCAACGACTGAACGTGCCATGGCTATGAAAATAACTCGTAACCCTTCAGTCCATCCGTATGTATTTATGGCGATCTTAACGCCAACATCAAGTCATTAATATCGTGCGATCAGAAACAAGAGAGTACTGAAATTTAATGAAGTGTCGATAGTTTCACTTATTCAAATCAAGTACCGTAAGCGACTGCATTTTGCGATGATATCGTGAAAGATAATAAAAAAAGGATAGTTTCTGGAACTTCGCATAATTGTGCGATATATGTACGATATGATACATTTAAATAACTTTTACACTTCGAGATTACAATTACTTTAATACTAACTATTTTTGATCATTAATTGTATGTTTTGATGGCATGTCGTGTCAAAGTTTGTAAAAAAAACAGAGTTATTGTGTTTTTGGGATAAGGAAATGAGTCCACTATTTAAAACACAACAATACTGTTAAATCTATAGTGTCAAATTTAACCTAATTTACACTATATAGCGTTAAATTGACATTGTATAATGTCAAATATAATCATTATTTTAGTATAAAATAACGATATATTTAGTAGGAGCAGTGGCGACTCACATTAGATTAAATTTGACACTATAGATTTAACAATGTAAGTCACAATGTCACGTCTAGTTTCTTTTTTCTTCATATACGCTGAATATCTTGGCAAAGAAAAAGTTAAGCCGTCGACCGCTCCCACTATATGCGCACGATCTATTCGAGATTTTATTGTTGGCCGCTTATTATAAATTAACGGGTAAGGACGTGCGCACGGCACGTTAAATGTCCCGTCGTGCACGCGAATCGCATTGATAGTCCGACGTCGCGGTAACGCCATTTCTTTGACGTTAATTGCACTGCCGTTGGCGAGAACGCGATACATCGAACAACACCTCTCCCTGTCGATGGAAACATATTCTATACTTCTGGGAATGTCGACATTTCGTATCTTAACATTTCCGCCATAAACATCACGATAGGACAAAGCATTGACATTAGTCTCTTCCACCCCTTCCTCTCACGAACAAAATTTAGGGAGAATTGTGGTCTTTTGAGTTTTGACAATAATTTCAATTATTTATTGCATTGTCCCATATCTACAGTGTTGAATATCGAAGGAGTCAATCATAATCAATCTTTAAGTAACATTTTATTATTTTTAACTTTCATGCATATCAAAATGTAAAAGTTCATTTCTATGGTTAGTTTCAAAGTAAACAATATCCATATTAACGTTATGCACAGGAAATAATAAACTAAATTTAAATCAAATTAACATGTTTTTGAATTAAATTTAACTCTATGTTTTAATTAAATTAATGACATATAATTTAGTAGAAAGACAGTGGCGATATAGAAATGATTAAATTGAATATAATTTAACGTCATAAATTTAACAATATATAAAAAGCTCGAAAAAATAAGAGAAATACTTAAGAAAGAATTAAATATAATATTTAACTTAGAATTATGTCAATTGTTACCTGTAATGCATGTGATGTGATTGGTAAATTATTGCTGATCAAATAAATTATGCTCAATAAATTATGTTTGATTATTATATGATTGTCTAGTAATGTAATGTCGCTTTATATTATTTTTACAATTAAAGGGCAGTGCAATATATAATAATAATTTTGCTCGATCGAGAGACCGGCTTGTATTGGCTAAAAATGTTGGATTAGCCGACTCGCGAGTGTGTCTAACGTGCGATTACCGGCGGCGATATACGCGACTGGCATACGTGTTTGCGAGGCTAAATCGCGGCATTTCACGAAGCAGAATAATTCCTTCCCCAGGGCTTACAGCGCCGCGGCGGGCGATAACGTCGCGGCTTTGCCACATACAGGAATTCCAGGACGCTTTCCCGCGATGTCGTGGCACCAAACGCTCGTGGCGTATGCATCTTGTGGAAGGTTTACGAGCGCTTTATCTTTCGAAAGAAAATTTCAACTTAATCGTAGAATGTTATGATAAATCTGCTCGTTGCAATAAAGCTTTCCTTTTTACGGGAACAGGAAGAGAACCGTCATACCTAAACCTAGAAAGTAAAAGATATATCGCACGCAGGATGAAAATGATACGGAGAATGAAACAAATTGGAATTAAATACAAGAATTTCAATCCATTTTTTATCCAATTAATTTAAGATAATAAAACTCTATTAAATCACAGATTTTACATTTGATACAAGAAATATTAGTTTTAAAATAACGATGTTACATTATTAATTTAGAAATTAGTATTTTTAAGAAAGATTCATAGATTGTTTTTAGCAATGAAGAACTATTAATAGCAGAATGTGAGTTAAGGAATTCAAGAAAATATAAACGTATTCTAAAACATAATACGGAGTGATAATAGCCACATTCAGCACATTTATTTTGCAATTGTTGAAAGATTTCTTCATTAAGATTGGATCATTTCTCTAGATCTAAAAATATAATTCAATCAGCTCGAAGAAAACTTTCAACAGTTGCAAAATAGACATTCTGCTGAATGCGGACATTGATTCATAATAACATCACAAAGTGATATGTTTCAAGAAAATGACAGCACGATTCGTTCTTAGAACATAGTATGACATGATAGTATATATCATATAATCTCCGTTAAGATTGCAACGTAGAAATCAACTCTTATAGAAATCTAATACTGACCAATACTCGAAAGACAGTTATTAATTATACTTATTTTAAGTATTCAAAGCACTGTTGTTCATTAGTAGTACTCCTAATATTAGTACTCCAAATAAGTAATTAATTACTGTCTTTTAGTAATAAATTGGCTAGTATTAAATTGATCAGTATTAGATTTTTGTAAGGGAAGAGGGAAGTATCGAAGCGACATGGATACTTGGATAATATCGTAGTATCTTTAACACCCTTGGTAGATAGCGTAAACGCTGCAAGCGTTAACTGTGCAGCATATAGTAGGACCGAGCGCGTGTTACCGTCGTAAATCTCGTGGGACCGTCATTATGGGCGCCGTTCGAGCGTATTGTGCGTCGATTTTCGCGATCGGATGCCGATATCATCGGATAAATTTCACTTTGCGCCGCAGGGAGCGACGCCGCGCGCGTCGGCTTTAAGTAGTAATACACTGTGAAAGCGTTGCCCTCCGATTCCAATAAAGTAGAGGCGAGCTAAAACCGCTTTGTCGGCTCCGTAATTAGCAGAAATATTTACCACGTCTTAGTTGCGAAAGTAACAAAATATATATTAGGATAACGATCATTTAGCTTTTTCCCTATGACGGAAATGTGAAAAGTGAAAAATTTCTCCCTCAATGATAAAAAAATTTCCACTTTTAATCTATTTGCTTTAGGCAAAAAAGTTATGTGATCGCTACTCACGGATGTGGAGTTTCCATTCATCATAAGTAAACGAATTTTGGTTTCAATAAAATTTTTTTCTATTTTTAGATTGATTTTAATTTTTAATTATTTAAGGAGAACAAAAAGGAAGGATTATTCAGGATTTGTAAAAATTCAGTTTGAAATAGTTTGAAATATTTAATTATATTATAAGAAAAAAGGCTCAAATAATTGAAAAAATTAATAATAAGTATAGGGACAAAACACATGATATGATTTAAACAGTAATTGTAATAATATATAATAATTGTATCATACGATGAAATTTATATATTACAATTACTGTCTAAATCATATCATGTGTTTTGTCAAGTTATTGTCTTTCAAATGAATCGTAAATTGTATCAATCATATCAATTTTAACATTGAGAATGTCCTACTTAGGATATATGATAATAAACTTTTGTTTTTAATAACACAGCAAATCTGGCTTGACTCGAAGCTCTATACTTATTATTAATTTAATATATTTATTTTAATTTTAATTTCTTTCAGTCGTCTTCTGGATTGGGCTGATTTTAATTTTTAATTGCCTGAATATCAAGGAGAACAAAAAGAAAAGATAATTTATGATTTGAATTCAACTTGAAATGGTTTGAAGTGATATTGATTTTAATTTAAATTTCTTTTATGTTCTTTTGATTGCTAAAAGTAACAATTAACATTTTTACACCATTTCACGGATCTTGATCGTTAGAATTGACCCTGAGAACATGTTGGTTCAGAACATGTTGAATCGCGA